TATATCGATGTGACATTTTTTTTTTTTGTTCCAAAGTTCATTGACCTGAAGTACCCCGTCCCAGTACTTAGATACCCACTTAATCTCAGTTTTTACCACCCTATAGTACCACCCTTATGGCAGTAAATTAAAGCTCACCAAACTTCAATAAACTTTTGCAAAGAAGTATTTGGTTATCCTCTTTAAAACTTTCTATTGCGTATTGTCGAAAAGTGCTTTTTTTCGAAATTGCCTTGAAATCATACTTTAGGCTCAGGGGTGTGCGAATTTTGTTTTTTGTTTGCTTGCAAAGTGGCACCGTCTAAGCTACATTCATATTTTACCTGGGTTCTTTCTGTTTGCCGCTTTTTTCGCAATCGATTTATTTCTAACAGCCACTCGATGCTGCTTATTTGCCCACAAGTGTCCTTAACTGCTCCATTCCACTTGTTCAAATTTTTCAGCTACATACTTTTTGCTTGCATTACTGTTCCGCTTGTTGAAGTGTACGCATCATTTGTCTACTGTTTACTCGTAGTATCATTGCCTTGTATGTATTTCTACCAGTAAAATTTTCTTGTTACAATTTTCCATAATAATATTTTTTTTTTGCCTAAACATTTGCCTAAACATACAGACATGAGAGTGACGAGTACAGCGAGTACACGAAATGCAATTTTTCGGTAGTATATTATTTGGTTTTAAATTTACTTTTTTTAATATTTTTTTTGTTTGCGGTAGTACATTGATGATAGTTTCTTTTTTTGCGACAGTTACTGTAAGCTAAGACATTCCAAAAGTCATTTTCGCTATTTTTTTAAATAAATTTTTTAGTTTCTAAATCATTTAATAAAACAAAAAAAAATATTTCAACGTTTATATATTTTTAAGGATTTTCTTTTTCAAGCAGGTTCAACACTTTAATTAATTGATAATTAAGTTTTGACGAATTTCATATTTTTCTGCAATAAAATTTTACTAATTTAACAGTGTTTCTTTGTTGCCCTTGAAATACTTACTGGGTATCAAGATTTTTACCCAATGAAAACAAGTTTTTTGAAAAACGATTTAAAGAATTATTAAAATAAGTACTAAAATTGTTCTACGACCAATTTAACCACAATTTCACACCAAAAATGTCCCCGAAATATTATTTTATCATTGAAAAAAAAAAAATTGCAACTTTAAAAAAGTCTATACAATATTTATTACTACATAGTATAGTAACATAAAATATCTTCTTAATTGATCACGTTTTGGTTTATTTTTCTTAAGAATGTAATATTCACAAAAACGAAAGAATTGGCGTCTGTGGAGGAAAAAAAATATTAGGAAAATATGGAGAGATAAGGTATATTTTTTTTCAAAATTTCGATTTTTTTGTTTTGTAAAATACGGACCATGAAAAGAAATTTTTAAACAGTTCATGTTTTACATTAGGAATAAAATTATAGCCTTAAGCTATAGTTGCCAACTTGGTGTATTAAGCACAAGATTTAGTTCTTTTTGAAAATTACTACGCCCAAAAAAAATGCTTTAGTACCTATTGCTTTTTTTCTGAACTAAAATTTTTCATAGATAGTTAAAATATAAAATTATTTGAAACCCACGTTCTTGTTAAATTATATTCGCGTTGAAAATGCTAGTACGCAGGTAAGTTAAATATTTATTTTCTAATTATTTGTACACATTTTAATTGAATTCACAGTTCGAAAAATTTTGACACATCGTATCTTGTGGATTTTTTGGTGCTGAATCCAAATATTGCCGCAGAATTGCTCTAGCACGGGCGATGTGATTGCTTTATTTGAAGGTACTTTTAGTGGAGACCCGAGCCGACTTCTTTCTCCATCTTTTAGCCAACGGTGTATATGCAAAAAATATAATGATTTCCCGACAGGGTTAGAAAGCGTATGGGCATCTTGAAACTAAAATCTAAGGATGACACGAGGTAATCAGTTTCGGCCTCTAAGTCGGCCTTTATTCCGTTACGCCGTCCAGTATTAATTACCTTCAAGACTGCTGCATGCCCGTAGTTGGTTTCCCTCCACAATTTTGATTCCCCCAGTTTAAGGGCCGCTTTTGCGGCTGCAATTGTTACGAATACTTGTGGTGGCTTCAAGCAAAATATCATGTTCAGCCCTTCTTGTGGTGCGCTTTTCACGGCTCCCGATAAACCACGGCTTGCGAGTCTCTGCACTTTTCCAATTATTCTCTGATTGCTGCTTTTATCCAGTGGCTTCCACCTGACCAGCGCTCAGTAGGTTAAAATCGGGTTTTCCGAAAGCCCTTTTAGAGGTGTAGTACCCTGCTAGGCCCTTCTTTGCTATTTCCTCTACGTTGTGGCTCCACGTGAGTTTGAAGTCAAGTATAATACCTTAGTATTTCACCTCGGTGGAAAGGTTCAGACTAGTCCCATCCAGTTTTGGTAAGGGTAGTTCCGGAATTTCTCTTTGCTTTATGAACAATAACAGTTCGGCTTTAGAAGGGGTCCTAGTCCATCAGGAGAGACCGCTGTATAGCCTTCAAACATAAGGTTAACAGACTAACGGACATAATGTCCGAACCTTTGACATAAAGCTGCCCGAGACCCAAACGAAGGTGAAGTTAAAAACAGCGTGGTGATCTCGTAAAATCTCAGCCCTCTAAAAAGAATTTCGCAGAGGCTGTTCAACAGGGCAAAGCGCACTGGATGCTGCGAGGAAAACGCGGATAGGCTAGCAAATTACAGAAAAGTGAGTAGGAAGGCGCAGAGGGAGTGTTTCTGAAACTTCAGTGAAGGTATCTTCAATACTCTTGCTGCCGCGTGGCTACACAAGGCTCTAGCCAGAAGAACTGTACAACTACTAATGGCACCTATACTAAAAGTAAAGTAGAGAAGGTGACCTCTCTCTGCTTACAACAGCTGGCCTCTACCCTGGAAGTGGATCAGAGGCCTGGTAGACCAGACCGGCGACCCTCTGACTGGAAGATGGCAAGAAATATATATTTACCCAGAATTCTGTCAGTTGGGCACTGGGCTCGTTTGAGCGCTACAAGGCTGCAGAGGTATATGGCATCCGGCCAGTCATGCTACAGCAGGGTGGTGAGAGCCTATTACGGAAACTAGTGGACATAATGAAAAGCAGTCTTGCTAAAGCTTACCTTCAACAGTCCCGAAAACGGGTAAAAGGGATTTTTCGCTAGGAAGTTTTTATTTATTTCCTTATCCGATATGTCCGATCGAATTATGTCCGATTTCGGGCATGCACGTCTGATAATTCTTATTTTCCATGATTATTTGGTCAGACATCTGTTAGATATCAGTCAGAACCGTCGGTAATTAAGTCAGAATTTGCCCAGTCGTGTCGGTTAGACTTCCTTTCAACCTCTCCCCACACGCTTCTCTGACCGATATCGGCCAAAATCATAAAGATTTCTGACTTTTTTGCCGACGAGTCTAACTGATACCTAACAGATTTTTGGCAAATTTGCTAGCTGGGTTAAGATTAAAAAAGGGATGTTGTGCCATGTTGGGATTTAGCATTAATCTAACCAAAACCGCCATCATTTCATTTATTAGGAATAGAACCCATCCGAGCAAGTGGGACATAAATTCCACATTACATTTTTTAAATGACTCAAATGTGCAGTGGGATATTTGGCATTGGTGACATTTTTTATTAACGTAATAACAGGGTATTTTTGAATACTCAGCTTCGTCATAAAATTTTTTTTATATAATGCTCAATAAAATTCCGTATTTAACAGCAACACATCACTTCAATTCAATTAAACCTACTTTAAAGACTTTTTAGTTTGGTCATTATTTTTAAATAGGTTTTTAATAATTTTGCAAATTTAACGAAATACATTTTTAGAGTTCTATTTATTCATTTCCTTGGTGTTGCCAAATATTTTTTAATATTAATATTCTAATATTTTAATAATATAGATTCCTACGTCAAATTGGTTCAAGATTGGTTCAACAAAAAATTGTATACTAATTTACTAAAGTTTCGGATAGTGTATTTTTTTATGAAAATTGCGCCGAAAGTGTGGCTTTTCATTTGAAAGCCGAAAACTGAAATTCAAAAATAATGACTTTATTCATAAAAGGTTTTCGCCTAACGCTATAAGTTGCGAAGGCAATGAAAAAGTACGTAGTAGCAGAAATTCAAAAGATATTTTATATTTGCGAAAAAAATTTCATAATATACTCAACACTAGTGTTAAGTGGTATAATTTTCGATAATTTTTCAGAATTGTCCAATTATTTTATCTAATTTCCAATCCTCTCTTCCAAATAATTTTGTTTATGTAGGTACTATCTATAACTGATATTTCATTTAGCCTAACTTTTATACCCTTCTCTTTTCCACCATTTACGCGGTTTTTTTTTAAGTTTTTTACACATTTATATCTTTCGTTATACTTAAAATTGACATCTAACTGATATTTGGCTTTTTATTTAAGCTCACTCTTAAATGCTTTTCGGGTTCGCAAGAAATTGACATTCATACAGATAATTTATGTTATGTTAGTTTTTGACAGCTGTCAACACGCACATATGCATATTTATTGAAGAGCGAAAATTGACAAATTAATGACAGCTGTCAAAATGTTGACAGAAAGTTTATCAAAACGAAAATGTACATTTTGAAAAGTTTTATCTTTATTTAACTGTAACATTTTATTTTCATTTATATTTTTTAGAAGTTGGAAAAAAATCGGATAACTTTATAATTTTTTCAGCAAATATTTTTGGTTAGTTTTATGAAAATGTGCTACACTTTTTTGTGCGCTATAAAAATGTTCGTCACATCACACGAAATACGCACACATGATAACTCAATACTAGTCGCTATTTATAGTACTTTTCTTTTTAACTGGCTCATCTAAATTACTGAAAGATTCTAAAGAGTCTGTGAAATTATTAAAATTTTTGGCCTAAATTTGCCTTTACGTTCTTTTATATATGACTGTATTTAACGTTATTCGAGAAAGTGTTAGGTTAATAAATTTATTAGAAATATAGTATGTTTTTTTAGTTTTTTTTTGTAATAATTATATCAATTTTTTCTTGTTACAAAAATCTTCTAACGGCGGGAAGTACTAACGTTTAAGCTGTATTCGCAAAAAATTTGAGTTGATCCAGTTTGTATGTATGTTTTAGTTTTTTCTTTGCGCTTAAGTTGCATTGGTATTGTTTAAGTTATTTTTAGATAATTCTGTTTTTTTTTATAGTTGTGATTAATTTACGTTTTCAATAAATTGAAGCATAGCCAGTTTTTTCACTTTTCAAACTAACGACTCTTTTTAGCTACTGTTTTAATATTTAAGTTTTAAATTTTAGTTAATACTTTTCTGCATATTATTTCTTTAAAAAAATTTATATTATCTTGGTAGAAAATAGTTTTCGTGAAAATATTGTTTTTTTTTGCGTAGTTTTTGGAGAGCGCAATTTTCGGCTTTATTTTTCTTCATTATTTTTGTATGTTTTATTTAGTATGTCCAGTTTTAATTGTCGCCTCGCTTGTCTCTTGCTTAAGAAAAAATGCTTTTCTTGTTTGTTTTCAGTTTCTTGTAAAAAAAAAAAATGATTTTGTATTGTCATTTATGTCTCTTATTTCCCTTTACTTATTTTAGTGGTGTTCATGTGACTGGTTTTGCTTGTATACAAGACTGATTGATTCACTTTATAGCACATGTGATTTGATGTGATTAGGTTTTGTAGGAAGTAGCAGGGTGTGACCTTTCTACATGCGTTAGTATAGCAATGAATTTATTTTTAAACAAGTAGTATTGAGATGGGCCTGTGAGTGATCGAGTGATGTGATGAACGATGCGCAAGTGCGATACGTAGATAAGCGATGTGACGAAGTACAATGCTATGTATGCATGCAATTCAACACAAATGATGTTATGAGTTGACGTGATGTTTAATGAAGTGATGTCATGAGTTGTCAAGATCATCTGCGATACAACGTCAACATGCAACGCTGAAATATTTTGTTCAACAAAAAAAAAAATAAATGACAAGAAGTGATATGTTGCTAAGAACGTACGATGTGATATCCATATGCTCTCCTCAGATGATGTTACGAATATTTCATAAAACGCTGAGAAATCTTGTGATTTTGCACAATCAGAAGTAATGTATTGAATGTGATGAAATAAATTGTGAAGTGCGATGATTATTTAATACTAGTCGCTCGATTTCAGGACTTCAAAACTCATTGTACTATAAAAAGGGCAAAAAGAGCCATAAAAACATGCAGAAAAAAATGTGTGCAGTGTACGGTGAGAATGCTGTCAGTGACCGCCGGACCCAGGAGAGGTTTGATCGATTCCGTTTTGGAAATTGTGAGTTAGTAATGTACCTCCCTCTTGTCAGCCTATCACTGGAACAGTCGATGAAGTAAATGGAACCACTAAAAATCAAGCATATAAGGAGATCAGGCTACTTAAACAAGCTCGATGTTTTGGTGGCACATGAATTAACTGTAAGAAATTCGATTGAGCGAATTACCATCAGTGAAACGCAATGAAATCGAACCATTTCTGAGGCTCGTGGGCATGAGCGTACAAGGTGATTACAAAAAAGGAGAAAAATTCAGTGCGGCCACAGATAAAATGAAAAATTCCTCAGAAGACAATGTGTTTTTCCTGAAGTTGCCGAAGGAGAAGTTATAGGCGCGGCTAATTTTTTTTTGTTTCCCGAAAATCTTCAGGCCCTGATTCCATTCCTAACTGTGTGCTTAAACTTATCTCGATGCCGAGTCCCGAAGTATTTGTTCATACGTTCAATGGACGCTTTGCGGAAGGTTTGTTGCTATATGGAAGCAACAGCGTTTAGTGCTCCAACCCAAGTCTGGAAAACCACCGGGTGATCCTGCAGCATATCGCTCTATGTATATGCTAGACATGGTGGGAAATTTGCTAGACCGTTTAACAAATAATAGAGTAGTAGCAACGATCGATGCAGGTGGAGGACTCTCAGATATGCAGTTCGGTTTCAGTTGGCTAAAGATGCGATCAGCGGGCAACGATGAAAAGTTCGAAGATCGAAGAAGTGCTGCTTGCTATTACTCTGGACGTGAAGGATGCTTTAAATACTGCGTGCTGGCAGAAAATACTCCAGGCTCTCCAGAAGTTTAAAGTTTGAACATATCTTCGGAGGATTATAAGCAACAATCCTTCCAATCCGGTATTGATCTACGCAACAGGTGACGGATTAAAAAAATTTCTACACAGATGGCATTATGGAGTTACCCGAAAAATTATAGAAGGTCATAGGCCATAATGACCAATATACAGTGGTAGCCACATATTTATGGGCTCTTCTTCGCTACAAGTATAGACCATTTTTTTCCGGTTCCGGTTTTGGTTTAGTTCCCCACGAGAACAACATGTAATGACAAAAATGTTCCCGCAAAAGAACCAAACGGGAACAAAAGTATTGAGCAGTTTGAACGGGCACAAAATGAGGACAAACGGTTCGGGAACGTTTCCGTTAAGCAAAAAATGCGAACACAACTGTGAGGAATATTCAAAAAAAGAACAAAATTAGATCAAAACCTCCCAAGAACATTCTTAAGAAGAACAGAATGCGAACGAAACTTTCGAAAACCTTTTCAATGAGAAGGAACGTATCGAGAACGTTTTCAAGTCTGGGTAACGTTCTGGTAGAGAACAAAATGACAACAAAAGTTTTGAGAACTTAACGTTAAGAATGAGAGAGCTGTTTGCATGTTGGGATGGAAATTCGTTTCAGTGAGAATTATGATTGGTAATTCTAAGCCATCATTTCAACTACCGGGTAGTTTATCATAAGAGGGAACTGTCCATGTATGAAATAATTTTTCATTTTCTGTGCAAGAAAAGTTCGTGCCTTCCATTCTTCGTGAATAGTTCAGAGAAGGTGTGCTCCCGTTTCGTTCCCTGTCAGAATGCTCCTGAGACTTTAGTTCCAAAATTGTTCTTCGAGAGAAAGTTCCTTAGACTTTTTTTGTCTTATAAATGTTCCTGCAAAAGTTGACTTGCTGTCTACTTTCAGGCAAGCGATTTTTGAATCACCATTTACACGAGCGATTTTTCTTGAGCAATGTTGAATCGCCTTGAAACTCGCCGCATGTAAATCCAACTTTAGGAAACGTACCCCAGTGTTTTTTTTCTTAAATTATTCGCGCTGAGAACGTTCTCGACCGTCTTGTGATAAATTGTTTATGCGTCATTTGATATTATTTTATTTGATCTTTCACTAAAACGTGTTATTTTCGGAATGCTATGTTATAAGAGTTGTGAAATTATGAGGTGAAATTTAACTGAGCTGCTTCAAGTGATGCGATTTGAAATGATGTGATTTAATATTGGTTTGTATGCTCAATCATGTGATGTACAGATCCCAAATGAACAAGATTTCATTAAAAAACCTTAAAATATTCAAATTTCCGTAAATTATATTACTTAACGTTATAAACGTGTATGATCAAGCAATATATGCATGTATGCACAAGCGATATTACCTCGCGTGATATTTGATGATGCATCAGCTGATATATGAGCATGTGATATTTTTTAATTGGACATGTGACATGCATCATATGATAGATTAGGTACCATGCAACTTTGTATCACATATTTTTAATGAGAGAATTAGAACAACTTTCAAAAATGAGTCAGATGGGACGATTTTATAAGAACACAACATTTAACGTTGGCTTAAAATGCGTTTGTTCGATTGGCGATTGTTCATTTATGTTATTTAGTAAATAAAACTTATCCAATGAAAGTTTAAGTACTTATTTGTCTATATATTACTGAAGAAAATCAAGAGAATGGTATTAATCAAAATTAAATAAAAAATAAAAATAAAAAATTAAATTAAATCAAGACACATAATTGCGTCTAACTTATGTTAACTGCTTCTAGATTTTTCTCTGCAATGCTACTAGTCTTGGCTTCATGTGACAGAATAAATTTCTTGATGAAAATGAACTACAAAGCTACTAAGCGCTGAATTTGACATAAAAATCTAGAATCTTAAATTTTACTGCGTCTTATGCAAAATCAAAATTCCAATAAACAATGACATCTAACCTTTTTTTTTGATGAAAATGTGTAACTGATTCTGGTATTCGCTCTTTGATATTATCGTTTAGCTTTACATATTTTTTTGGTACCTTTTCTTTTCCTTCAATCTATATTTAATGTTTTTTATTTGCTGTATTGTCAACTATTTACATCCCTTGTTTGTTGTTTTATTATATGTAGTAATATTAAATTGAGTTTTTCTTTGTGGCTTTTAAACAGTTAGCTACAATTTCGTATTATTTGCACTATTTTTTATAATATTCCATAGCTTTTATGTAAATTTGCAGTGTACAGGTTTTTTTTTAATGATTAAGTACTTACGAACTTTGGGAAAAATTTTATTATTGCACTGTCCTGCCTTATTAACTACAAGTGAGCTTTTTTACAATTATTTTCTTACAACTTTAGTTTTCCTAAAATTTTTGTGTTTGAAAATTTATTTTCCTCATGGAAGTGGCTTTTCAATATTATCCTCGCCAACGGCTTTGATATTGTAATACTCTATGATTCAGTTTTCTGGGATTCTTGAAATGTTTTACCGCTGAGCTTTGCTTTTCAATCCTCTTTCCTCTTTTGTTAGATCCTTCGTCAGCATCGAATTTTCAAACGAAAGCAGCTTTTGTGCTTTTAGAAATAAAAAATCGATGAAAGCTTTTAAGCTAAAACTTTCCATTCAAGCGGCAACGTCGAATTTGTATAAAGACAGCTTTTGTGCTTTTAAAAATAAAAAAATGTTATGAGAGCTTTTTAGCTGAAACTTTCAGCGAGTAAAATGTTTTTACCAAATTTACAAGGCGTAAACTATTTATACAAAAGTTCTCTCGAAAAATTCAATAGAAGTTTGAAAAGTCAAACAACTGTCATTGACAAATGTTGTCACAATTGAGCTTTCAAACCATAGCTTAATTTGTGAACCCGAAAGTTTTTAAAGTAGAGTTGGTCACGAAATAGTCACTCATGCAGAATTTTTCATGGTTTTGAGCTTTCAGAGCATACAATAAAAAAAAGTGTTATTTTCAATGCTTTATACAGCTTTCTGTCTGTGCCTGAAAGCATTAACGATAATGTTGGCCCCTTAATAGTCACCCATGCGACACTTTTTTTAAGATTGATATACATTTGGTATATGTGGATGAGCAGGGGATAAAAGCTCTCTCTGGCTAACATTAGTATACATAGAAAAGCGATGTGCAAATAGATAGGCAAGGCGTGCGCGACCTAGGTCTAAAACAAATTTTTACGTTTTTTTTAACGCTAAGGAAATCTACATATCGAGTTTCAAAAACAACGTGGTGAAAATTGCATCCTCAAAGGCTTTTTAAGGTTATTGAATAAAGCTATTCATTTCGAAGCTTTCTCATTATAAAATTTACACAACAACTTTGAAGCTTTTTTGTTGAATTTTAACTTTGAAACACAAATGTACGTAGGCCTAAAAGCATAAAGTCACACCTTTAAAGCGTTTTTCTGGCTATTGAACCATTAGCCACTAAGCAACCAGTTCTTAAGCTTTCCCATTTTGAAAGTTCTTTGAACTCAAAGAACCTACAAGCTTTTTTGATGTACACTAACTTAAGTATACAAGTCACAAATGCAGAAAATGGAGTATTCGAAAGCTTTTTTCCAGTGTTCAACTTAACAGCGCGCTCTTAAGCATTCACATTACGAAATTTTATAAACTTAAAGATCTTTTGATGGAAGCTGACTTTAAAAAATAAAATCATAAAAGCTCCGAAGCCCAAAACGAAATTTTTTAAAGTATTTTCAGGCCATTGAATAAGAAACTAAATCAAAAAAGCTTTTCTAATGAAAGTTCTAAAGCATTTTGCAAAAGCCATTTTCCCATTTCTGAAGTCTAACGTTAAAAACCAAAAGCACAAAAGCACCAAAATTTTTTTCATCTGCTGTGTTTGGGCTGTTATTAATAGATGAAATATTTTGAAAGCTATGTAGTAACCACTGTAAAGACTAAAATATTGTTAAAAAAAAAAAACGAGGATCGATTTTTCATCCAAACTTTCCACATTCCTGTGTGTGTAAATGAGAAGTTTTATTTGCAAGAAATCAAGTTCTATTTCTTAAACTAATTATTTTTTATCATTTTTATTATATTCGCTTTTCAATTTATTTTTATTGTAAAAAAGGAGCATATATCTTAGGCTAAAACTAATTGCTTAGCTTTAAATTTACGGCTTTGACTTCATCCAGTTTTCATTTCATACTTTTAGGCTTAAAATTAAAATTCTCTATTAACTACCTTTCTTTTTATTACACATTTTTCCTAATATATTCACTGTTACACACTTTTAGACCATCAATGTGCTACTAAAAAAAAATTACTTCAATTCTAATCAATTACAATTACATTTATTTAATTGTTTATATGTATTTATATTTTATTTACAAGTTGCGTTGATTATCCGACACTAAAATTTCATACATACATACTTTTGACAAGTGCATGCTGAAATTTTCTATGCTCAACGCTAAGAGATTTGGGTACTATAAATCTCTTAAATGATCACCCTGCGCGTAGATGCCCACTAAATTTGATGTTGATAACTTTTATACAGTCCTGCAATGAAGAAAAGTTGGCATTAAAATTAGTAAGAACAATAAAGGTGCAATAAAAAAGGATATGTATGAACATTAGGGTGGATCACTCTCCATACAAAAGACACGTCGGTATTGTTTTTCCATTGGAATTATACCAAAATAATTTGGAAAAATATTAAGATTAACTTGAGCTGGACTAATTTGAAAATATCGCAAAACATCGAGTTTTTTCTAAATAAAACTAATTAAAAAAATATCTTTTGTAAATAATCACCCAGGATGATAAAAAAGCTTAAGCTTAATAAATCGCAAATAATGCGATTTTTTAATGTTTTTCAAAAATATTTTGGCGGAATTTTTAAAATATAATAGATTTTACAAAGAAAAGAAAGACTGACTTTCTTGGTAAGGCACACTAATTTACACTTATTAAAGTAAATATCAAAAGTTTGCTGGAGCTTTGGGTCTGGGAAGGTTTCATTTGCACAAAACCACATACGTTGGTGTTCTTTATTACGCACATAACGGAGCTTTCGCAAAAAGTTTGTATTTCTTTGTCGCTCATTTACACAAATGCACTTTTTTAAATGCAGATTTTCAGCTACAATCAATCGTCGTATATTAGCTAAGCTTTTGGAATTCAAGAGCTTTTACCAAAAAGGTTCATACTCTTTTAAATTCGTACTAAAATAAATGCCAATGGCTTTCGTGCGTTTATGCACTTTTAGCTCATTTATATAATATTTTTATAGGGTTTTCAAAATTTGAGAGCTTTCACGAATAAAACATTTATGCTAAGACCTTACACAATTTTATTGTTCTTACTACTTATGAAAGCTCAGTGCATCTCAAAGCTCTCATACTATTGCACTTAATAATAGAATTACTAAGCTAAGTATGTATATACTCTTGTCACTCGTCATACTTACTTCATTTAATGCCATGCAAAATCCTTTTTTTTTTAATTTAAAAATTATGTAAAAAGAAAAAACAACAGTTCTCCTGAAGTCTAATTGATCATTCACTGCTTAATGTGTTGCTTCTCTATTTTCATTCTCCTCCTCCTCAACCTCCACCTAAACGAACCATTCATCCTTCTGTGCAGCACTGACAGCTGCGGCGGCTGCTGCTGCGGCCGCTGTATTTTGATTACCCACAGATATGTTCGTTTGATGGAGGCCCGCTGTTGCGACAGCAGCGGCGGCGGCCGGATTTGTATGTGAAAGATCTTGACCTAATTGACGGAATTTGCTAAGCACCAGATGGGACGGACTTTGGTGGCCATCTTCGATAAGTTGCGTAGAATGCTGTGGTACCCGTATGGTCCCGCAGGGTGATGCCAGTTTCCCGACGTCGGTGGCAGTTGTGTGTGTTCACGCGACAATGTGCCGCCATGATGATAGTGCAGATGCTTCGACGAGCCATTTGTTTCGGCGGTATGATGCACTGGAAAAAGAGTTGGGAGAGAGGACGTTACTTTATTGCCGTATATATGCATAGTTGGGTGGTCCTAAAAAAATATCAACGTGATGGGGCATGGCTTTCTTTCAGTTTTTGTTATTTTATGGCCTTATAACAATTATATTCAACAATTCTTATTGAGCTTGAGGCCGTTTTTAATGAAAAACTATTGAGGAAAAGCAACAATAATTTTGAAAAAATGGTACAAGTGATAACTATTTCGGAAATCACCAAATTTCCTCATCCGAAATTTTCGTGATTTCCGAAATAGCTATCACTTCTACCATTTTTTCAAAATTAT